AACTTCAGTTGAGGAATCTCCTCCATCAGATTGGCCCTTCATTACTACTTGATGTAGGAGGGCTCAGCCCACTGTGGGTGGTGCCATCCCTGGGCAGGTGGGCCTGGGTTGCATAAGAAAGCAGGCTGAGCAAGCCAGATGAAGCAAGACAGTAAGCAGTGTTTCTCCATGGTCTCTGTTTCAGTTCCTGCCTCCAGGTTCCTGCCTTGTCTTCCATCAAGGATGGACTGTGACCTACCCGCCAAATAAACCCTTTCCTCCCCAAATTGCTTTTGGTCATGGTGTTTATCACAACAACAGAATGCTAGCTAGAACAGTGTTGTACTGTTGGGGTGAAGAGTTGTGTGTGTGTGTGTTCTGGCTGTTTTCTGGGTATTCATTTAAAACCTGGTCAGATATTGTGTGCCAGCAGCTTTTACCCACAGGCCCCTCACTCTTCTGCAGTCCTGCTTATTGGCAGGGCATATGAAAATTTGGGGTTGTTTTCATGCCTATCCTGGCTTTTTCTGTCTGTTTTCTCTGTGCTCTAGCATGGGTGGCTTGGGCCCGCTCTGGCCTCTGCTGCATCTGTGTCCAGTCACTGGACAACTCAGGAATGTGGGCAGTCTCCCTTTCTTGTGGAACTTCTAGCTAGATCCCTGGCTAATTGGTGGCTTGCTCCAAACAGCTGCAGCCTGAGGCTTGGCAGGCCTCTGATCTTCCCAATGCATCTGTGGGACAACCTTGACACTTTAGTTGACATTGTTCCTGGACATTTTAGCCTCTCTCTTCCAGGCAGCAAAGTGCTGGTTGTTGGCCTGGCTTGAGGGCTAGCAGGGCAGGGTGGGGCCAGCCAGGCTCTGTCCTGTTTCTATGGAGCTGAAATGGTTGCTTCTAACAGTCTCTGCCATTTGTACAGCTGACATTAGGGGACACAGTAGGCCTCCCTAGTCTATGATGTTGGAAAAGGCAGAACCCCAGCAGTAGCTTGCCTCCGCCCTCCCTCTTGATTAGATCACGCCCAGCCTTTTTTGTACTGCAGATAACAGCCCCTCCCCCTCTCCAAACTGGCTCTAGCTGATACCTTAGTGGAGCTCTCTTGATGCTGGGATGAAGATGGCCCTCCCTCTGGGTACCACAAGGCCTTTTTCTCCTTTCTTCCCTTTCCCACCCACAGGGCAAGGTCACTCCAGCATCCTCTCCTTCAATCCCTCAGATCTTCATCCTCAGATCTCAGTTTCTCTGCCCTTGGAACTCCTCACATGCTACATTCTACTGATTGACTCCCTTTGGCCACAACACGTCATCACTGCTGCAGTTTGGGTTTTATTTTACTCAATATTGTCTCTTTCGCCTCCCAAGCCCTTGTAACCCTAGCACATGGCAGGAGACCTGGCATATAAATAGGTGCTCAGAAAATTGTTTTGTTTTTCCCCTTGGTGGACTGTAACCTAGAATTGGAAGCCAAATAAACCCTTTCCCTTCCCTGTCTTGCTTTTTGGTTAGGGTATTTTATCATAGCAACAGAAATGAAACTAGACCAGTGTACATTTAGGATTGTAATGTGTACGTTGGGAGGTGTTGCATTCTATAGTTAGGGTTCTAATATTTGTTGGGAAGGAGTTAAGTCTGCCTTTAGCATTGCAGTACATATACTGGAAGGTTTTTAATAAGCAGGCCTACCTGTAGGCCACAGAGGTGATGGAATCATCTGCAGAAGAGAATCAGCCAGCTTCCAACTTTTGCAAACACGGGAATCAAGACTGAATGGACAAGTCATTTGCCCATGAGTGCGTGTGAATATGTGTGATTGTATGTGCCTGTGCGAGAGTGCCTGTGTGAACAGGTAGGTGTGAGTGAGGCTGCAGCTATACAGGTGTGTGCCTGGGTTGGTTTGTGAGAGTGTGTGTGAACATCAACGTGAGTACTCGTGTGTGACCAGTGCATGTGTTTATGTGAAATGTGCGAGCTCATATGCAACAGGTGTGAGTGCACACGTGCACACATTTAGTGTTTCTTTGATAGCATCAGAGATAAGCAGCAGGTTCTTGTCCTCAGCCCTAGAAAGGGCTGCCACCTCCCTCACTTCCCAGCCTGGGAAACCAGCAGGGCCTCTCTAGAAGCCAGTCTGCTAGAACAAGGGGCCTTTCTTAGTGGCCCATCTGACTCCTCCCCTTATTCTCTTCTTCCCCACCCCCAGCATTTTTTAAAAAAATTATTTCTTTATTTTCATTATGTTGTGTATGAGTGTTGGTCTTTTTGTTTTATTTTGTTTGCCTGCTTATATATAAGTGCACTAAATGTGTTGCAAATGCCTGGGGAGACCAGAAGAGGGCATTGGATCCCCTGGGGGCATTGGATCCCCTGGAACTGGAGTTACAGATGGTTGTTAGCTGCCATGTGGATTCTGGGAACCGAACCCAGGTCCTCTGCAAGAGCAGCCAGTGCTCTTAACTGCTGAGCCATCTCTCCAGCCCCGATTCCCAGCACATTCTTTTAAATTTAATACAGCAGAGAAAATGCTTTCTGTATACCATAGTTCGCCCATACAACAGTTGTTGTGTATTACATTTCAAGACACTAATACACACGTGCACACACATACTCTCTCTCTCTCTCTCTCTCTCTCTCTCTCTCTCTCTCTTTAGAGGTTTAGTCTTATTGTTTATGTAGAAGAGAAGACTGTTAAGGATGTTTTGGGTTTTATCTAGCAATTTCACTTGGCATAATACAACCTAATCCAGAAATAAGATTAACTTCGCTCCTTAGAATGAAAGCCATGACTTTCAGATATTGCCCTAGGCTGGACCTGACAGAGCTGTGACGCGGTGGGAAGCCAAGTTTAATTTCTTTCTGCCCAGGGCCTGAGAACAACAGGAATTATTATTCTTAATGCTATATGGATGGCTCTCACCTGTCTGTGACTGCAGGTGACTTAACTTCCAAAGACTGTGTTGAAAGAACACACTGTTCCATATATTAAAATCCTTAATCAGATTCTATCCCACCCCCCCTTATGGTATATGACAAACTTTTCAACTATATTTAGAAAATGAGCACATTATTTCCTCTCTCCCTCTCTCTTTCCCTCCTTTCCTCCCTCCCTTCCTCCCTCCTTTCCTCCCTCTCTCCCTCCCTCCTTTCCTTTTTTAAGACAGGTCTCATGTGGCAGCCTGAATGGACTCATTATGTAGCCCAGAGTGGCTTTATACTCTGGATCTTTCTGCCTCCACCTCCCAAGTACTGAAAGTACAAGGCAGGTGTTACCACATCCAGCTGTTTGTTTGTTTATTTATTTATTTTGAGACAAGGTCTCACTATGTAGCCCTGGCTAGCCTGGAACTCACTATATAGATCAGACTGGCTTTGAACTCACAGAGATTTCTGAGAGATGGGATTATAGGTGTGAGCTCCATCATGCCCACCTAGTTTGAAAGCAGTACTTTATTATGCATGTATTGCCTGCATATAGGTAAGTGCACCCATGTCGTGCAATGCCTGTGGAGGTCAGAAGAGGCTGTTGGATCTCCTGGGACTGGAGTTACGGACAGTTGTTAGCTGCCATGTGGGTGCTGGGATTTGAACCCAGGTCTTCTGCAAGAACAACCAGTGTTCTTAACTGCTGAGCCATCTCTCCAGTCCCCTTGTTTATTTAATTTATAATTGAGCTTTTATACATTTCATATAACAATTCTTAATCAAATTTAAACCCCGTCCCCCATCCCTGCCTCCCTACCCCTTCAGACCTCATGCATTCCGAGAATGAGGCCAGCTTGGTCTATATAGTGAGTTCCAGGCAGGCTGGGGCTACTGGAGACACTGTCTTTTTTTTTTTCCTTTTAATTAAAAAATTTTTTTGGTCTTTTTGAGACAGGGTCTCCCAGTAGCTCCAGCTGTCCTGGAACTCACTATGTAGACCAGGCTGGCCTTG